AAATAGTTTCTCTAGTGTGAGAAACTGAAAGTGTAAATAAGGACTAAAAGGTATAATAGATAATGTGAAATAGGGAGAAAGGGGGCAAAGGGGAAGGGGAAGTGGAAGGGGTATTGGAAAGGAATAAAGGGAATGGAATTAATATGAGAAAATGAAAAATGGAAACAAAGTCTTTGTAAATAGAGAGGGATGGAGGGGTGAAGGGAGGTCAGGGGAAGGGAGAAAAATAAGAACCAAGAGAGATTACACAAAGGTGCAAATTTCCAATGATGAATGTCATTATATTGTACACCTAAACTGTACCAATAAAATAAAATTTTTTAAAAATAAAAAATTTTAAAAAAATTTTTAAAGAAATAAATGGGACACACACATAAATACCAAATAGTTTCTCTGGTATGAGAAACCAAAAGTGTAAATAAGGATTAAAATGTATAGTTGATAATTTGAAATAGGAAGAAAAGCTCTAAAGGGATAGGGGAAGTGGGAGGGGAAGGGGAAGGGAAAGAAGGGAAAGGAAAAATTATGAGAAAAGGAAAAAAGGAAAGAAAGGAAAGGAAAGGAATACATATGAGAAAAAGGAAAACCAGAAGCAAAGTCTTTGTACATAGGGAGGAGTGGAGGGGTGAAGGGAGAGCAGGGGAATGGGGAAAAAATAACAACCAAGATACATCATGTAAAGGTACAAACTCCCAATGGTGACTGTAACTGAAATGTGCACCTAAAATGTACCAATAAACTTAATTTGTAAAAATCACATTGAACTTTACTAATACACATGATCATTTGTCAGTTAAAACCTTTAAAATTTCAATAAAATACAATGCCTTTTTAATTGTGAATTCAACTTACTAAAACATATTTTAAAATCTATGCAGCCATGTCAGGAACTCCACATATTTTATTTGTGTATGAATATTTTAAGAATCCACTAAATTTCAGGAATACACCTGATTGGCTTGTCCTCTGATTGGTTCATCTCCTCAGTAACAGGGGAATCAGATGAGGGACCGCTGCATCTTCCAGAAAGCCACAGACTGCCTTTATCTCAGAAATGGAGCCCAAAAGGAGAATCCAAGCAACCATATGGGAGCCTGAAACACCCTCAATTCCAAGCCAGCCTTTTGTGGTGAGTATGGAATCTGTAGAGTCTCCAAAGTGTCCATTTGTGCCCTATAGATTCAGTTAAACTTCATTAAGTTAGCAGACAGTTGTTTTGTGCTTTTTGTATTCTGACTTTGAAATGAGGTATTAATACACTGCCCAGGGTTGTTTTGAACTTCTTGGTTTGAGATCCTCCTACCACAGCCTCCTAAGTAGTTTGAGACTACAGGCATGCACCATATGCATAAATGACAATTGTTGTTCAACTAAAATGATATTTTAAGGAAAATTACTCTCTAATTGCTAATATTTGTGAGTAAAAGATACATCTGAACAACACTGATAATGGGGTTACATTCTGAGAAATGCACTGTTTGCCAGTTTCTTCACTGTGTGAACATCAGAGAATGTACTCACACACCCTTAGTGTAGGTCAATCAATGCATGTGAAACTTGCGATGCCCGTGTCTCAAACTAGAATGACTTAGGAACACTGGCAAACAATGATGGTGACATGAAAGACAAGAGAGGTTCATCTGCACAGGCTGTTGGAAAATGCTTTGTCATTGGTCCTGGATGCAGAACCACACTCAGACCTACTTGAGTTCCAGATGTCTGAGTGTTAATCATCTTTCCAGGTGGTTGTGATGCACTGATTTCAGACATCTTTCTCCAAGAAAGGGAGGCTGAAGGATCCCAATGAACTGTGAAAATTCTCCATGGTAGAGGGCAGTCTTCATCCAGCATTTTGTTTAAATTTCACATTTTATATTGTCTTTACAGGGGAAGCTCAGAAGAAGCATGCTACCCCCAGGTTTGCAGAAGAAACAAGTCCGAAAGTTCAGAGCTACCAGGCCCTTTACCATCCCCATGAGACTGACCAGCTGCATCTTACCCAGGCCTGTGACGCTCATCACCGCCCACCCTGGCAATGAGGTCAGGTGCGGGCCCCACGAGGAGAAGCTGAAGAAGCCCCAGCAGCTGTGTACAAGCTGGAGGCTGCAGGCACTCAAGCACCAAGGCAGCGAAGAAGAAGGTTTAAGCCAATTGGATTTCACAAACGCCTTCCCAGCCATGACTTCAGGAAGCCGAGGAGGATCCTGGGGCCAGGCTGCTGCTGAGAGCTCGCAGCCCGCCCCTGGCCTGTCTCCCTTCTGGAAAGAGATGATCCCGGAAGCTTTTCACCTTGTCCCTCCCCCTTCCAGCCAGCAGGTCACTTCCGCAGACATCCAGAGACAGGCTCGGAAAGTGAAGAGGGCCAGGGAGAGACTGGCCGAGGCCTTGAGGGCAGACAGCCTGGCCAGGGAGGCAGAGAGGCTGAGCAGCCAGGAGGAAAGGGCTGAAACCCAGGTGGAAACAGGAGCAGGAGCTGCTGGAGACTCGGAGATGTGAGGCTGCTGGAGAGATGGGATTCACTAGAGTTTCCAGTGTTGTTGTCTGTCTTTTAATTCTAGTTCTAAACTTGCCAAGGACCCTGTTACATCCAAAGTTTTACTATTAAACTTTAGAAGCAGAACATAGGTGGTTTTGTGAGATTAAATTTCATGTGGGAAGGAGTCCTTGTAATTGTTCAATTTTAGTGTATGATTATATTTTTATCTATTTCATAATAAAGTCTATAAAGTTAATCTAGCATGAAGGATCATTTATTGTTTTACACTTTTATTTCTTATAATACATTGAGGCAAGAGATTCTTTGCCTAGGTTTTTAAAATGTTATTAACATATAAGTTGTACAAATTACAATTGTGTTTCCACTTGTTCATCAACTTTGACCATGGACCTTCTTCCTTCTGTTACCCTCCCTTATCTTCTTCCTCCACCCTTTGTTTTGATCTTGTCACTCTTACCTTTTTTTCGGTTTCCAAATATGAGAAAAAATGTCAATACTTTTTCCTGCGTATGACTTATTTCATTTAACACAATGTCCTTCAGTTCCATCCATTTTCCTGCAAATGACATTTTTACTTTTCCATATGAGGGACTAACATTCCATTGAGAATAGCATAGTGCATCTATGTATTCAGCTGATCATGGGCACCTAGGCTGAATCCATATCTTGGCAATTGTCTATATTGCTACGATAGCATTGGCATGCAGGTAGCAGAGATCCTTCCATGTGATGGTAATTTGGTTCCATACATATATTATTAAGGTTGTTTTATGTCTAATTTTAACATAAATTTCATCTTCTTTTTTCTTTGTGGCCTCATGCCAAAGCAGATATAGTATTTCTTCATATCACTAATTATCTCCTTGATCTGCAAACCTCAACTTTTTGGAAACTGGGGCCAGTTTTGTGGAAGAAAACATTTTCATGGACCAGGGCAGATGGATTGTTTCAGCTTGATTCAAGTACATTACCTTTTTGTACACTGTATTTTATTATTGCATTATAATATATAATGAATACATATACAACTCACTGTAATGCAGAATCATTGAGAGCTCTGGGTTGTTTTCTTGCATCCATGCTCCCATCTGGGGGTGATGGGAGACAATGACACTCAAATAGGTAAAATGAATAATGGTCAAACAATACATGGTCAAAATAAGTGTTGGAATCAGACTTAAAGTTGTCACTAGATGCAGCTGCCCAATTGATGTACATCAATCCACCTGCTGATAGAAAACCTGCCAGCAGATTCAGCTTGTCACTTTCACTCACTGACAGCATTTTGATAGGAGTCTACAAGAAATTGATTTATTATGGTCTCTGAGCAGTCAAACCTCTCTGCTAAATTTAATCCATGTTTACAGCTGCTCCCCAGGGCTGGTATCCCTGCCTCAGCTCCACCCCTGATCATCAGGCATTAGATTCTCCTAAGAAGCACAAACATCCTTGGAAAGTGAAGTTCACAGTAGGGCTCATGCCCCTGTGAGAGTCAAAGGCAGCCACTGATTGTCAGGAGGCAGGCTGCAGGAGGTAACGAGAGATGGGAGGGGCTGTAAACACCGTTGAAGCTTCATTTGCTCATTTTCACTACCTCCTGCTGTGTAGCCTCCTAGGTCTTAACCTTAGATTCTTAGCAATGAACACACTCATTGGTGGCATTTGTCGCTGAAACAATCTTGGCCCTACCACCAGGACTGTATTTCCTCCTCACCCTAGATCCTGAGCCGAAGACACCAGCCCACCTGCTTCCAGACATAGAGTAATTATTCAATAAACACATGATGAACAAGCACTTGGCTGAACAAGTGTCAGGTCACAGGATTCAGAGGGAGATTTCATTATACCAGGAGGGCAAGACTGACGTAGGCTTAGTAGGATCTGCCATTTCTTGGACTTCCTTGAAGAACTTTGAACAGAGCAGTTGTGGTAGGGATTGCAGAAGATAAAGGGTTTTTGGAAAGAATAGAAAGTGACTTGAGGGATAAAGCTGAGCCTTCTGCCTCCTCACAGGTTCTGAACTTTTGGATGGATCCTTCTCAGTCCCTGTGGGTTTGGTGTAGCTCTTACTCCACCTCAGGTTCAAGGATCCCTAACTCTACAGTGTGAAGAAGTCTGCATATTCCACATCCCCTTTGACTCGGGTCCTCTAACCTCTGTTTTGTCTCCTAAAAATCCCCATTATCCCAGCACTCAGGGAGGCTGAGGCAGGAGGTTTCCCATTTCAAATCAGCCAGGGCAAGTTAGTGACTTAGTGAGGCCCTGCCTCAAAATAAAAATTAAAAAGGGCTGTGGATTCAGCTCAGTGGGAAGGGCATGCAGTATCCAAAAAATAAATAAGTCAAAAAAATTTATCTTACCCTGATATATGATAATTTTAGCAAAAGTATGTCAACTTCTGAAAAATTATTTTGTTGGACATCTGAGATGTCTAGAACACAAAAGTTCTCCACTCCTGATACTTTCCTTGGTTTCAGAGCTGGAGTATCAATCAGCAGATCTCATTTCACACCCATGCTCAATAGATTATGTGGAACTCGTTTTGTATTAGTCTATGTTTGCAGTACATAATGAGTACATTTATCAAGGTACAAATGCCAATAAATACTGGACCTGGTTTTACGTTAAGTTCAAAATCCTCATGGTCCACAATGATCTAAAATTCAAATCATTCAAACAGGCAGGCAGTGAGAGGTCTCCTTTCCATCTCACTGTCCAGTTCCCTGTGTGCCCTTCCAAAAGTGAAGAATTCTCGGCACTGGCAACGCCCCCCCAGAGGAGTGGAAATTGGCTCCGGGAGGCAAAACATGTTTTTTAATATATAAAGTATATATAGATATATGAGATATATAGTACATCCACAGTAGTAAATATTCATAGTGAGAGTTATTAGGGAAAAAAGACTAAAAAGACTCCTTGGGGCCATGAGAGGTGGCACATGCCTGTAATCCCACTGCTCTGGGAGGCTAAGACAGGAAGATCACAAGTTCAACTTAACAACTTAGCAAGACGCTGTCTAAAAAAAACAGGAAAGAAAAGGGCTGGGGATGTAGCTCAGTGCAAATTCCCTGGGTTTCTTTCCCAGCGCCACAGAAAGAAAATAAAGACAAAAAGGAAAGGCTCATTAGGAGATAATAATGAAAGACTGGGAAGAACTGCTCTCCAAGTAGATGTGGTTCAGATGTCTTTTGTGAACTTCCAGATCTATTGTATGCATTTTCAAACAGATACCTAGGAAAGTTGCAGGCTAAAGATCCAAGGAAAAATTGCAGTTCAAGGCCTCACAGTGCTGCTTAGTGGTGGAGCACTTGCCTAGCAAGTGCAAGAGCCAGGGTTAACTCCATAGCACCGCACACACAAAAAAAAGAGGTTTAGGTTTGAAAGAAGCTTCTGGCAGAATCCTTCCCTCCTTAGCAGTGATCAGTATTTTTGTATAAAGATCTTCAGCTGTTCATATGAAGCTTACTCCCACTATGGAGGGTAAGCTACTTTACTTAGTCTGCTGATTCTGATTTAAATATTAATCATACAAAAATACCTTCCCAGGGACATCTGAAACAACGTTTGACAAAATATCTGGACCCCAAGGCCTAGTCAAGCCAACATATGAATTTTACCAGCCCCTGGTCACCCCTGGTCAACTTGGCACTCTTATGCATCATCACCTGAGACCATGCTCAACCTCCAAATCAAGACAGCTATGAGGTCACACTTCCACCAAACAGAATACAACTCTCCCACATAAACCAAAAACTCACCCTTTCCCCAGAAGAGCATGGAAAGCCTTTGCATAGTTTTTCTTCCCCTCAACATCTCATAACTTAAATAGTAGGATGTAAAGGTACCCTACTTTATACTAGGATATAATGTCAGTGCAGCTTCTATGAAAAGAGAGAAGAAATCAAGGTAGAAATACTAGTGACGATCACAGTCTTCAATTCTGTAACTAGTCACATGGTTGCGGCTGGTATCCATACCTAATTTCGGAATGATTCTTTGTAACCAAAATCTGGATTAGATTATTCAGGTTGCCATAGCAAAGGATTGAGAGGCTTTAAAAGTAGGGATTTATTTTCTCATGGTTCTGGACACTGGAAGTCCAAGATGAAGGTGTGAAGTGTCCTGGTGACCTGAGACCCCGCCTCAGCTTGCAGTGGCCACCTTCTCCCTGAGTCTTCACATGATCTCGTGTGTTCGTGTGTGTGTGTGTTGTGTGTGTGTGTGTGTATGTGTGTCTTTGCCCTGATCTCCCTTATGAGGAACCAAAACACTGGACAATGTTGACTTTTTTACTCAGTTTCCTTTAGGGAAAACAAGGTTGTCTAGATGAATTAATCTAATATTTGTTGAGAATTGACCTGTGAATTCTTAATGTCACAGAGGATAGAAACGTGGGATGAAACCATGTTTTCAGCTTCAGTCCACAGACTTCTAACCATTTCTGTCTGCTAACTCCTGCACCCTCCACAGTGTCTCTCCCCAGATGGCTTGATTGGATATCATAAATAACCTGCGTGTATCTGCTGCTGAACATTTGCTTCCTAATTAGATTTTAAGAACCTTTGTTGCCAAGTAACAGTTTTTACAAATATTTTAATAAGGTCCTGCCTAACTTAGTCTACACCGTGATGCCTTACTTTTTTCTAGTCTTCAATGTATATGTTCTATACACATAAAGATTATAAGTATGGAAAAAAAAAACTTAATACCAGACTGGAGAAGCAAAATGTTGTGCTGATGAAATTAACAGGCTAGAATCTGAGGATATTTTAGGTCTTGCAGACGGGCGTGTGTGTTTCCCAACCAGAGGGTATCATCGGGGTAGGAGGAGTTCTCAGATTCCTGGGGTTGGGTTGATATAATTTCAACAGGAGATCGGGCTGGGGTTGGTTATGGGGCGGTAGGTGCAGGAGGTCAGACCCATGCCCATGTCGATCACCGCGGCGGCAGTCCTCGGGGGCAGCCTGCGGGGGTGCGGGTCGAGCCCAGGCGCCTGTGGGGAGGGCAGGGGCCCTGGAGGCTCGGGACCATTCACATCCATGGCTGCGGGTGGCCTGGGCAGGTGGCTGGCGAGGCGGACTGCTTTCCCTGGGGAGAGGTTGCGCAAGCAGAGAAGGAGGGCTGAGGTCAGGACAGAGGGGGCCGGGAAGGGCCGGGCCAG